CGGGGCCAGCGGGGAGGCTCCACTGTGGCTGGCAGGCCTCTACAAGGGCCCCAACCTTGAACAGGAACCCAGGCAGCAGCTCTGGGTGGCCTCTCAGGTGAGGCCTGGGTGAGCCTGTGGGGTTATGGGTGTCCAGGCTGGGGTCCCCCAATGGGGAGGTGTGGGACGAGCACAGGGCCTTCTGTGGGCTGTGCCCCTGGTGGGCCAGGGTGCCGGGCCGGGCCGGGCCGGGACCGTTGGTAGCGACATTTGTTTCCCACGTTGCTGCGTTTCAGCCTACTCCACCCAGAGCCTGGCAGGGAAGTGGCTCTTGTGAAAGGCCGAGCTGGAGCAGGTGGCAGACGCTACTGGGCACAGTGTGGGTTTCAAAGGGGATCTTTCCTGCCTCAGAGAAATTGGGGTTTACACAGTGAGAGGCCGATGACTCAGCTTCCTGTGGGCCGTCCTGCCTGAGTGGAGGGCATGGCATCCTTCTGAAAGGCCTGGCACCAGACTGGCACCTCTGCCTGAAAGGGGAGCCCCGCTGTCCCCCGCCTGGCAGCCTGACGTGCCACACAGACATGTGCTCCCCTAAGGCTGGCCAGCTAGGTTTCGGGAAGCCAGCCCAACGGGGGTAATGCAAGAGATGTTTTTTGTTCACAAGTGTATTTCTTTCTTTCACGAGTGAGAGAAAGAAAACGGAAAACTGCACCCCTGTAGGGTGAACCTCGGCTGGCCCAAGCTGGGGAGCAGAGCTGCCCGGGACTCAGGGAGGTCTCCAGGCGGGAAGGTGCAACCCGGGCCCTCCAGGTTGCGTGGCCTCACAGAGCTTCGCGTTTTTCCACTGTTTCCGCTGGCTTCTGGAGGGGCCGACTCCCAGAGGCCCGGCTCCGGAGTCCAGCGTGGTATGGAGGGCCGACTCCCAGAGACCCCAGCCCTGGAGTCCAGCGTGGTCTGGAGGGGCTGACTCCCAGAGACCCCAGCCCTGGAGTCCAGCGTGGTCTGGAGGGGCTGACTCCCAGAGACCCCAGCCCTGGAGTCCAGCGTGGTCTGGAGGGGCCGACTCCCAGAGGCCTCACAGAGCTTCGCGTTTTTCCACTGTTACCTCTGGCTTCTAGAGGCCCCCGCCCCGGAGTCCAGCATGGCCTAGACACAGGGATCGCACTCTCCAGACATCCCCAGAGAGTCGGGATCTTGAATATGCAAATATCTAGCAACTGCTGCTCAGTATGTATTTTGACTAAACGTTGGTACACTTTACAAATACACACCCGGCTTCGTGTAATTAGGAGTC